TTACGTATTGATTGCATTTTTTTTTACATAGAAAATAAGAAAATCTAAAATTAAAACAGTTTTATTAATTTATCAAGAGATCTCTGTAGATTGTAAGTATAATTTTGATTAATAAAGATAATTTATAAAGATCATTTCTTTTCTTCTCGTACACTGAGAGAAAAATGTATTAAATTTTAATAAATTATTGTTTGAATAATGCAATGGAAAAAGAATCTGGTTGCATTAATTAGAATTCTGGTCTCTCAGTAAGTATTTTTATTGGCCTACATACATTTCTCTTTAACTTTACGCGTTGTTCGTATTTTCTTTTATACAGAAAACAAGGAAATGTAAAATTAAAATAGTTTCATTAATTTACGAACAATCAAGAGATCTTTGTGGGTGGTAACCCATAATTTTTATCAATAGATATCGTTTATAATTTCTTCTCTCCGTAAATATTTTTATTATTGCGCATGTTCGCCGCAAATCAACATCGCTGTTCTGAGAACTACGTATCTGATCCCTCTTGCCTCCTTCACTTTTAACAAACATTTGCTTTATCGCATTAGATTTCGCCGAAGCAGCGTCTTTCGTTTCAATTCGTGCTGCGCCGAAAAAGTTTCATCGAGAAGAGAGAAGAGAGCGGCTTCTATTTTCTGCGCGAAACACCTTTTCGTCAGAATGTTAAATTAATTTAACATTAAATGTTAAATTTCTCTGATTCGCACACAAATACGTTGTACGTTCTATTAGATTGTATAGAATGTTCCCAAAAAATTTATCGGTCAATTCTAAGCAGAATCGTAAGGCTCGTAACATTCTGCTTAGAATTTATGCATTAGTTTGTATAAGTCATGATGATTCTCTCAAAATTTTTTTATATTATACTTTTTATTCGTAAGTTTCCTTTTATAAATAATTGATGAATATTGATAGACTCATTTAATCTCCGATTTGTATTTCTTTTCATCCTATTAAAATCCTGCCAACTTCCTCAAGTGTTACAAGTCAGCAATATTTACTAATGTTTATTAATCATTTGTACAGAGATTGCATGTAATTATCTCCGATTTATGACATCTTTTTTTCATAAGCTTGCATAACGGACTCACATTTCGGATTTTATTTCTTTGCTCTTGTAATATACTTCGGTGAGGGATTATCTTATTTACAGCATACCAGGGATTTTCGGCGGTTGCAGCGTTTCTCGGTTTGTTTGATGAGATGTTAAACAGAACGCGGCCGATATCCCACGCCCGTTTGCTCGCGTTTAGGGGCGATGAATCATCATCGCAAGCTGCGAGATGTAATTTAGGAGGCCGCCGCCATTCGAGCTTTCGCAAGCGAAGCTGGAGTCTACGAGTCAAACTTCCTTGGCGAGGATGCGATATATAATTGGAGTTAGTTATGCAAGAGTATGGAAAATATCTCACGCGACGTCCAGCTCCAGAAAACATAATTCACCAGCATCCGACGGCTGAATAATTGAAGCAATTTATATAGCCAACTCCACTCTTTTTTTATTCATAATATTTCATGTGTGTTGCGATATCGTAGTATTAAATCGATAGGAGTTATATGTTACTTTGTAATTGTTTTTTTATTTAATTTCTTTTCTACTGCTATTTCAAATAATCTTGGTTGTAATTTTGATAAAAAGAGATGGAATCGTTGCAGTCGTTTAGTTTTTTAATTAGCTTTTTTTTTATTTTTTAATCATTGAGTATTTTAGAATATTTAATGAAAATGAGACAAAAATATTTCGTTATTCCTAGGTATCTCGATTTAGTGCGACGCAAACTCGAGACTCGCTCGTTCGTTTCATGCCACAGTTAAATATACACCTTGCACGTGTGTAGGTGTAGTGCCGGTCAGAGAGTCGCTTTGTATTAATCTTATTCCATTCCGGTTCGAGAGAGTCCGGAAGTCGCGTTCGAGACGGGTTCAACGTCACGTTCGGGACTCTAATCAGGGGTTTCTGTCCTCTTTGGACTTTTTGCTCCCTTCTTCGTCGCCGCGTAAAAGGACTAGCAGTGTTCTCCAGTTCCGTCTCTTATCTTCGTCTCGTTTTTTTTTTTGTGTCTGCCTATTTTCGCCCCCTCCCCCACTTATTCCGCCGCCTTGAAAACGTAACAAACGCTACCATTTAGCCGACTCTTTAACGAAGCCGCAATTAAGCTAACTCCCGCGCTCATTCCAGCTCAGCTTCCATTACAGCTGCGTTCCATCGTCGTCGGGACGTAGAGTTATTACGTCGTATCGCAAGGCCGCGTATCGCGCGGATTAAATCCGCTAAACCCGACGGCACCATTTTGTGGGATTTGTGAAATTTATTTTCGAGAGATGCCAAATCTAATTCGTAGTAATTAATGTCGATGAAAAAAAAAGTACACGATATCTTATAAATAAATCTCAAAAATATTAATTTGGACTTTTAAAAACAACAATATGGTCCTTATTCTATAACTCTTAATGACATCGTTACACTGTCGTTGCGCAGATTTTTTACATGACAAAAAACCGCACAATAACAATATAATGATATCGTTACTGTCGTTAAGAGTTACAAAATAGGGGCCTTAGAACGAAACAAAACGAATCTTGTATGTAACTTTTTTAGGGCTTCAATGCCAGCTGCTTCTTCATGTGGAATGTTCATAACCCATCTTTTTCTCTCATCTTCCTGTTCCATATGTTAAACATCATTACTTTGGTTTTGATATTAAGCTAGGCGTCGACGTCTGCCGAAATTGGAAAAGTATATTACTCGGAGTACAAGTTCTCAGCTCATTTTCGGGGCCCCAAAATCCGCCGTTGTTTTTACGATAGGTCGTATACTAATTTTAGAAACTGATGATTCCCCATCGTCGTGGGCCGCGTTTATAAACATGATCTCACACTATACTTCGATAATAAAACCGACAACCGTCGCAACGCGTCGCTGAATCACGTGCGAGCGAGGCTTCCGCATCGTAATTTCATTTGCTTCTCGCTTTGCAAATTACCTCAGCTCTTCCAAGATTTATAACTCTTATTGTTATTAAATCTCTAGTGTAATTATCTTCTCCGAGTCATACTTCGGAAAATGTACAAGAAAATACTATTGATAGGACGCTCTTTGTTTATTACATGTAAGATACTTTATAATACATCTGAGGGAACTTAGCTCGTTAATCAAACTCGTAATCGAATTATTCTTCCAAACGAACTTCCAATACACTAAAACTTGGCGCTGATTATTCTGTAATCGTTCAAACTCGCGGTCAAAGATCATCGGTTGTAACAGATTACAACTCCCTGACAGCTTCACAACAGAGACAGAAACAGAAATAAATAGAGAGAGAAAGAGAGAGAGTGGGGGGAGAGATATTGCAGCTTCGTACTCATTCGTAATGTAACGAGGTCTCGAGGAGCTCGGAATAGTAGTTCGCTGTATCCAGCTGCTTATCTAGAAGGTTGTACTCATGGCGGATAGAAAGTGTCTCATTAATGACTGTCCTCCCTTTGCCGAGATATATAGTCGTGCCTTTATCGATGTGTTATATGTCTGCCACTAAGAACTCAATAAAGCAACTACTGTCTCTCGTGAATCTGGACTTTACGGATTAGAAGTGGAAAAGCGAAAGTCGGTGTAATTTATCTCATATAAAAGTTATTGTAATCACAGGGATTTTTTAATTCACGATTAATGTCTTGATAGTAGTGGTCGATAATCAACTATAATGTACAATCTTTTATTGACATTTTAATAACACAAAGTTAAGAATATATACTAAAGGTTAGCAAATTTATTGCGATTTCTATGATATATCAACTATGATATATCAGCTTTCTATGATATATCAGCTTTGTCAGCAACAATTAGATTAAGCGAGATACCCGCCAAATGCAAGGGGTTAATATCCCCAATTCCGGTCAAGGGGATGACAAAAAAGAGAGCGCATCACTCATCCCAACTGTTCACTATCGAAAACCGATGATGTTGCGACAGTAAAAACGCTTCAACGTCAATTGCCAATTATCGCGTGACAATAGCGTCGCGTGCGGAACAAAAACTGTTAACGTTCTGATTCGGTACTACTATACCCGTTAGTGCTGCTCGAATTGTACCAATATAGGGAATAAAGGCCCTAAACAGTTAAGCTAATGTTTAAATAATTCGGTATAAATTTATGTGCTTACATATTCTATCCTGCAAATTGCGCGTCAAATTTAATTTTCAGTCTTGAAATGATCTCGAACAATCCTAACAGAATTGGAGTAGTAATATCACAAATTAAATTGACAAGCAATTTAAAAATATTGATGCTCATAGTCATCTTAGAAAAATCTTAATGATCTGACGCTGATAAGTATCTTAATATGAGCTTCATAATTTTATTGCGAATTCATTATCATAACATTTCAACATGTAACATCAGTTTACGAGCTTCCTCAGCGAAGTGCGCGCATCAGGGTCACTCTTAAAACTCTGATGCAATCCATCGATATCCAATTATCCCGCATAACGTCGATGTAACGTACGGCGCTTTGTAAGATCAGTTGTGTCCGCTGACAGGTTTCGTTCACTCATCAAGCTCGTTCACCAAGCTCTTCTATTCTTCCCTTCAACTTCTTCCTAGATTCGCGATGTCCTGGTCGTGGCGCAGTGAGGTTTCCAATCAGCAGTTCGTATCAAGTTAAACCACCCGCGTTATCGTAAAGGCTTCCTCGATACCTTCTCAACCACCGATCGACTATCCCGAAGAGTTGTCTATCTATTCGTTGTTGCAGCAGCAACGGGAGGGCACCAGTGTCCAGCAAGCCGCCCCTGCCACCACAACCGCCGCGCGTCGCCGCTCTGGGCACAACGATGC